CACATGAAACTGGCTTCGATGATGATTTTGAGTTTTTCATCGATACCTTGGATCGTTGTCTTCTCATCATTTGGGACCATTTTTGGCCCGACCTCTTCTTTGGAACTTGTGTCTCTGTACTTTTTCATTAATTGTAAGAAAAAAAAAATGTATACCTTAATTGAATCGTATTCCATTACACTTACGAGAAATAATACTTGTTCATGAGATAAGGTAAACCAATCGTTGAATCTTCCAAATCTTCCCATTCTGATTCTTTATTGTACACATTTTGCCAAGTTGCTCTTAAGATAGCATCCATTGTAGAGCCGGTGTAAAGACTATTGACTCGCTCCTCGCTCGGTAAACCAACGTCATCGTATACATCTTGATCGTTTTCCAACGCGTCGGTATCTTCGTCTACGCTAGAATATTCGTTGATAACAAATTGTTCGTTTTTTTGCTTCGTTTCATCATCACGACTTTCACTCTCATTATCCGCAAATGCGTTTCCTTTATTGCTCGGACTCATAACATCGTCATAGATATCGTTGGAATCTTGGAAAGTAGTTGAAAGTTCATTGATACGATTTTCATCCATTTGCGATACAGATATTCCCACGTCGTCATAATCGTCCTCCTAATTAAAACCAGCAGCAATAAGCCAAGAAAATAATATCGATAAATAATTAACACTAGTATTTGCTAAAATATTTAGCTAATATAAATTGTGTAAAAAAATTTTCCATAGATTATGAATATCTAGATAGATATTCAATAGATATTTTTAGTTTATGAACGATCAAATAAATATCAATTCGAATGTTACGTATAATATATATATTTACGCATTAGATTAATCACCTGATTAATAAGATTCAATGGTCCTACATCATCGTATACCTGACCGGCATTTTCGATTTTATCGATATTTTCATTCAGAGTTGATCGCACATTCTCGAAAAGAAGATTCTTAGTTCGGTCGCTCCATAGAAAACTGGAATTAGCAGGTAAGGCAGTAGACGATTCATGCATTGTTTTCTCCTCGCGTACATTTTCACGATATTCGTTTGTTTTCACCTGTTGGCTTGATTCCAATGTTTTTACTCCGCGTGCTCGCAACTCGGCTAACAATTGGCGTTTAAGATTTGCAACATCAAATGCATCGTATTTTTCTAAAATTTGAAAAGCTTTTCATTATAAGAAACGAAATAAGAGAATAGAAAAGAAAAAACATACGAGTAGATTCTCCCTTTGTTTTAGTAACAATCGATGCGTGTTCCATTTGACTTTCAGATACTGAATTCTCGTAGGTTGTTGCAACGAGGAGAGGTAACGTGGCACACTTTTGTTCATGTGTAATTACAACTTGTTCTAAACTATACCTGATCGTGTTTTCATTCGAAACCAAACTTGGATTTGTGGCGGATGCGACATGGACAAAATTTGTCGGTGAAGATATTTCTAAATATTTCAATTCCTCTCGAGAAAGACTTCGCGATCTATATTTACAGTTCGAATTTATCCCATTCTTTGAGTCTATAGATAAGTTTCTCAAAGAAGTAAACGATCCTCTATCCAGTTTACTTTTTCCTTTTTGTCTTCTTTTCGGCCTCTTTACGATATATTCTGGTACGAGATGCAACACATTTTTCGCAAAATGTTTCTTTTTTCTACCATAATTTGAAAAATCATTACTAAGCGATCTCTTTTCTAATTTTCCATCAAAAAACGATTCCACTAATGATTTTCCAATAGATGATCTTGCGTTCGACGAACAATTCTTACTCGCTAAGTCGTTGGTAGATTTCGACTTAACAAATAAATTTTTTGCGTATACGATATCTTCTTTGTTCTCAAAAGTTTCATCACTTTCGTTCTGACATATATCCGTAGAAAATACCGATTCTATTTTCTCATAATCGTTCGATAGAGATTCATTCTTTTCGTTTCTAGAATTCAAGGAATGATTGGAATTATGTTCGATGTTTGATGAGTAACTTTCCTTAGAAATGTTGCTCTCGAAAAGGTTGGTATCAATTTCTCTTGCCGTTTCTCTTATCAAAGTAGTATCGATTTCACTGTTATTGGTATCGTCTTTCTGCAAACAGATGATATATCTTTTTTTCGATGTTTTTCCTCGTCGAGAAAATTTTCTTGCGAGTCTGATTTGAATGATGATAATAATCAATAAATATTTGGCGTTCTACTTTGACGACACTTGCTTGAAAGAAACCTTGTGTCGACCTTTGAACGAAACGTTTTACACGATTTATTAGTTATTACATACGTATTCTTGCACGGTATAGTTAGGACATTTATAACGGTCTTGCGGATACGGTTTCAAGGAATGCGATAGAAATCATAGGGTATAACTGTTTCAAAAGCGCAACTGTTCCGTCGCTCGTCAGTACAAGTCATGTTCTCTACACGTGTTACATACTCAGTTTCCAACAAAGAAATTGAAAAGTGTTCGAATCATAGATATGCATATATATATATATATATGCGAATGGAAAAAAATATTCTGTGAAATAGTTTTGAATCTGCCAGGGATCACGAATGATGTTGGAATTCTTATAAATTTTGTTCGAAGATGGTAACGAAACCACTCCTTTGTATTAACATCGTTGGATTTTCTCGTGATTGGACTTTCTCATCATCATCACAAAAGATTCCAACTAACTCGCGTTTTTTAAACACTCGTCATAATTAATCGAATATAATCGACTGATCAATTGTGAAATTATAATTTTGTTCAACTGAAAGATATTGTCAAGATGCGAAAATTCTTCATTATTTATCAAAAAAATAATTAATACATACCTTGAAGCTAGATCGTTTGACAGTAATTTTGACATTGATTTTTTCCTTTTCTTTCAACTCGTTCAATTCCTCAATCGTAACATTTTCATCGCCGACGGGTAACAATTGCAGTGGTAATGTCGCTCTTTTTAGAGCCAGACTATCGAGAGTCGCGTAAATCATTTTTTCCGAAATTGAAGATGATTTTCCGTTCCATGAAGGAAACTTCTGTTGGCAATGGGTACAATACTCATATTTTCTTTTAATCTTTTATAGTATTAATTAATATGTCAATTAATTTTCATTAATTCATCGATTACAAAAAAATTGTCATTTTAATATCTTAAAATAGTTTTATATAAAATGATTATCACAAATTGCGTTATTTAAGCATGGATGATTTTTCACATTTTTTTACATTTACAAAGCAGAATTTTCTGCGAAAAATCGTCATTATTTCGATTATTTAGAAAAATGAGAGAAACACTTCCTGTTATCAGATATATATCAGATATATATGAACAATGGAAATTTTTTATCAAATTTAACTATATTTAACATCACTACGATTTAATATACGACATTAATATTTTTTATACGTGTCATGAAAAACGAATCATGAACGAATGTGAACATATCTTTAAAGCTCAATTGAGAAAAAATTGACAGAATTAATAACAACTAAATCTGTTTGCAATTGCTTCGTATGATTTCGAAACACATCACAAACTAGCTTCCGCAATTTGTTCTCCTCCTCGTGAAATATTGCGGTTTACCAAACGAACGATGAACGCAATCGCGATAATCAAAATATTTTTATTCGCCTTCAGTTTCCTTGTTCACGGCGCGTATTTAACTCGTTTTTCGAAACACTTTATGTATTTCACTATAAACACTTTCCGACTTTCCGTGTAATTATTGCGTTTCGATTTTCTTTCCATATCTGTTAATGAACAATCATAAAATATATTCGACAATCGATACAAGCAACTTGATGTTAACAAGGCCACAATTACATTTATAAATATGTTTATCAATATTATTTCATCAAGAATTTATCGGATGAATTGCAAACGTAATGACAGATATATTTAAACACAGATATTAACTAATCTCGTACTTCTTCGTATAACACCATTTCGATCGAACTGATCGTCCATCGAGTGACAAATCATGCATACTCAGTGAATTTTTAAACTCCTTGCTCTGCCTCCGCGCAACTACAATCCCGCGTACACGAGATCGGTCGTTTTCGTCTGGTTTCGTCGCTACTCGTCAACCATTCCCGTATTCCTCGAATTATTCACCCTTTCTACTTTCGTACTTTCATATATGCTGTTTCCGCATATACTTACTACTTTCGCTTCGAGATGCATTGAAAATTTTATTTTACGATAAGAAATACAAGCGATTCGTTAAAAATTATTTCACTTTTTAATATTTCGGAATTTAATTTTAATTTTAATTTTATTTTCAAATACGGTCCTGAGGTGCAGAAATTCTCGTATAAAGTAAAATCAGGGAAAGGTAAAACGATGAAGCAGGTAATCAAGAATTCCTACATTCTTATGTAGCTGAGTGTTGGAAGATGATGTGGCAAGTTGGCCCCATTCTTTCTTGGTGGTTTTTATGGGCTTCATGTCCCATTATTGGATGATGACCACTATAACATTATTTTTTTAAAATAGCTTATAGAAAGAATATCATTAATTTATAAATTCATTATTATAATTTAAAAAAAATATTTAAAATATAAATATTATAATTTAAAAAATAGAAGAAAACGGAAATAATTGGAGAAAAAGCATCTTTAATAAATAAAGATAAAAGTTTATATAAAATGATTTAAAGTTTTTTAGAGAAATAATTTGCATAGATCCATTACCATTAATTACTAAAAATGTTTCTCACTTAAATAATTGTAATTTTATTTATTTAATATATTTTTAATTTGTTAAAAAAGTTGAAAATTTATAAATTAAAAGTATATCCATAATTAAAAAAAAATTAATTAAAAATTATCATTTAAAAAAACAAAAATTATTATAGAATATGATTAATGATTTTATGTTTTATTTTTTCACTCGATGCTATTCGTGTTTGACTTTGTTATTTATTATTAATATTTCATTATAATAAACATTTCAAGAAAATCTACTCAAATATTGCTTTTTAATTTCCAAAATTAAAATATATAAAATATATAAATGAAGCATTTGAAATATATTTATATGCTTTAAATCATTTTTCATAATTACATTTTATTTTTTTATTTTTTATATCGTAAAAAAAAAATAGAAGATATTTCTATTTGTGTAAACAATAAATTATCATTTAAATATATTCATTTGTAATAAAGATCTTTATAAACAATATTTTTATACGATGTTTATAATGAAATTTAATATAAAATTATGTTCTTTTTTGATTTTGGAAAAGGATACAATGAAATAATAATAGTATATATTAGATTTATTAATATACTCAAAAAAATATAAATAAAATGTTTAATTATTTTTTATATATTTTATATATTTTACTATTTTGGTTGGTTATCTATATTATTTTGAAATCTAACCATTATCAACATTAAATATACTTCTAATCATTTCTACATTTCTATTAATCATTTCATACTTCTAATCATTGTGTCATTCATATATATTTCAAATTCGCGCGTTTAGAGACACTGTCAACCAATTTTGTCATTCTAACCATATTTTTTATGATACAACCTATTTTTCGTAGACAAAACTTAAATAATTCGCGCGTTAATCATATTATATTGCATTAAGTGATGTAAATATAAAAAATATAAATTTTACATTTTATACTTTATTTAGAAACTTGACATATGTTGTTTTTATATATTTTATTTACACAAAAATGACCATCTCGGCTTTAGACAAAGATACTGTCAAACTCATAACTACTACTCAAGTTATAACTTCTATATCTACCGCTGCAAAGGAATTAATAGAAAATGCATTGGACGCTGGTGCAAAAAATGTTGAAATTAACTTGGTATTTCATTGTCATTGTCTTTAAACAGCTATCTTACTTTTTAAGTTATTTTATAATTATTTAAAGATTTTATTAAATTTTATACTTTAATATTATACTTTATTTTGACAGATAGATAACGGATGTACCTTAATAGAAGTAAAGGATGATGGTAATGGCATTTCAAAAATAGATACTCCTTATATGGCTTTATCATCTTATACATCAAAACTATGTAGTTTTTCTGATTTAGGTATATAAATTATATCATAAAAGAAAAATTAATATTATAATATACAATAAATATAAATTAATGTTTATAATTATGTAGATTCTTTAGAAACATATGGATTCAGAGGTGAAGCACTACATGCATTGAGTTCAGTATCAGATCTTACAATCATAACAAAAACAGAACAAGATGAAGCAGCTATATCTTATACTATTGATCATTATGGATGTATCTTAAATTCAAAACCATGTCATAGATCTACAGGTATTAAATTAACTTAAAAGTAGTTCATTAATTTAAATTTTTAAAATGAATATCAATTTTTTAGGAACAACTGTACAAGTTAAAGAAATATTTAAACAAATGCCAGTGAGAAGACAAATAATTACAAAAAAAGCAAATCAAGATATTAAAAATTTAGAATTTTTAATAAAATGTTATGGTATATGCAAATTTTTTGTACGAATAAGTTATAAAATAGATAATAAAGTTATATTTGTAAAGCCTAGTACAAATAGCTTTGAAGAATCAATTGCATATATTCTTGGTAGAAAAATAACATGTAATATGGATTGGATAGACATTGCAGATACAGATGTAATTATTAAAAATTTATTTTTCATCATTGTTTCTTATTTAATTCTTTAATTTATTAAAATATATATTTTAGATTAAAATGAAGTTAATGATTCCCTTGAAAACAGTAAAAAATGAGTTTGAAATCTTTCAATCTGATTCTCAATATATTTTTGTGAATAATAGACCTATTAAATATACAGAATTAGAAAAGGTATATTTTTTTCATTTTCATTAATTAAATAATTTAGTTATAATATATTTAAAAATTATTTACAGGTAGTAATTAAAATAATTTTGGAGGCATTTGGACAAGAATTATCTAGAAAAAAACCAATATTTGTTATATACATTTTAATAAATGCAGCAAATATAGATATTAATTTAGATCCAAATAAAAATCGTGTACTTTTTAAAGAACAGGTAATTGTATTTATGAAATTTTCTATTATTTTAGAAAATGTTATGTTTATTATTTAATATTATATATTCTATATTATGTTTATTATATAGAATATTATTATCAATATAATACAAAAATATCTAGAAAATTTTTATGGAATACAAAGAGAAGTACAAGAAGAAAAAAATTGTGATAAATCAATTAATGATTATCAAGATTATTCACAAAAATCACATATTAACAATACTGAAAATGAGGAACCTATATGTAAAAAGCAAAAATTACAAACAGAAACAAAAGAAGAAAAAAATGATATCTCTAATCAAAAGAATATAAATGCTACAGTAAATATAATGAATAACTTGAATTCTGTTGAAAACTCTGAATATACATTACAAACTTCTATAAATAAAGAAAATTATCATGATGAAAAATGTGAGAAAGACATAGATAATTTTAATGTTCAATTGCCTTCTTTAGATTTAAGTGATTCAGATTCAAATGAATCACAAATTTTTACATTAACATATTGCGACAATTCGAAGTTAGTATCTAACTATAGATTAAAATAATTAAAATTTATTGAAATATTTTCAATATATTTTTCATTTTATATAGTAATGGTAATCTAAAAGAAAATACAGAAAATACTCCACCATTTGAATTAACACCACAATTTGAAACACTCAGTCAATTGCCATTGGTAGATTTAGGTGAAGATTTTATACTAGATGAATGTTCTAATGTGAATACAAATTTAAAAGAGAATACAATGAAAATTGCAAATTCAGAGATATTGCATGAACAGACTAAATTAGATGCAAAAAAAATCTGTCACATTAAAAGAATGGAGTAAAGGACACTTACCTGGTTTAAAGGTAAATTAATAAGAAATTTAATATAAAATTAATCAAAAAAATCATATAAATTATATTAAATTAATTTTGATAGGGAAGTACAGATATAGAATCTTATAATTGTACTAAAACAAATGAATCATCAAATAATGATACACATAAAAATGTATGTGAAGGCTTTCTTAAATTTTCAAAATATATGAAATCAGAAGGTAAATATATTTAACAACTTAATTTATAAAATATAATAATATAAAATATAATAAAATGTAATAAAAAAATATTAAATCTTTATTTTTAATTATAGTAATAAATAAAAATCCTACAATGACGGCTCCACAACTTGCGCATATAATAACTAATCGATGGAAAAAATTGTCACCTGAGGAAAGAGGGTATTATAGAGATTTGGCATGTGATGAGAAATTAATGCATAACAAAGATAAATTAAAAACAAAAGAAAAATGTTTAGTAGATTTAAATAAAAATAAAAATAGACTCTTAAAAGCATTTGAAAAAATGAAAACAATGAATTTAGAAAAAAACAAAAATTTAGTTATGAGAACTACTGTATCTTGGCATGTAGATTTAAAAACAGTTACTGAAAAATTCTTGAATAAGTAAGTTAATTGATTATTATTATAAATCTATTATATCATTATTATTTGACATTTATTGTAAGCATTGTAGTTCTTCATATGGAAATACCAATCTTGTTGTTGGATTTTTACATTCAAATTTATGGGTTATTCATAAATCTGCACATATTTGGATTTTAGATGCTAGAATCCTTAAGAAAAAATTACATATATCTGACACAGATGTAAATGAGGTAAATTTACAATAAGACCAAAATCAATTGTTATTTTCTTTAAAATCATTTACTTTTTTATATATTTCTTTTATTATAGGATAATGCTGAGAATATAGAACAACTTTTACAACAATGGTTTTTAACAAAAGATGATTTATCATTATTACATCCTATTCATTCATTATAACTAATTAAAAATAATTTTTTAGTTTATAATATTATAACTGTTCTTCAAATAATTTTATTTAAAATAAATGATATATAAATAAATTTTTTATGAATTTAAAAAATTAAATTTCAAAATTAATTATCAATGTTTTTTAATGTTTCTCTCAAATTTAATTTATTAAATATATACATTAAGTGTTATATATATTCTATAAATAATAATATTGTGTATTAATACAAATAAACAGTAAAGCTATAACAGTGATTACTTTATTTTAAAATTCAAATTTTGAGTTAAGTGATAGGAACATAAAATAAAAATAAAAATTATAAAAGAAATTCTGATTGGTTAATATATAGGAACTTTGACAAATCAAAATGTATGAAAATATACAGTTTGACAGTTTCCATTATAATTAACCGTTATTTTCAATAAAAATAAAATTTTTTAATTAAGAGAAAATCTTATTACAAATGATTATTATCTGATATATATGATTTTTTAAAACGTCTTCAGTGCTATTATTTTAGTTATAAATAGAATTTTATTTTATAGAGAATTTACTTTTAATTTTATTACTATGTATATGAACAACAAAACGTTAATATGTCACTTTGATATATTTAGAGGAAATATATTAAACACGTATGTCACATATAAAAATATATTCTTATTTGATATAATTGATAATCTATAAATTACAATATAATTGCAACATTGATAATCCATAAAAGTGATAGTCTTAATAAGCTTTGATTGGAGAGATGGTTGAAGATTGCTGATTTCAATCTATATATATTTGAAGTTTGTGGTTGGTTGTTGGCTGCCATCTTGGACCTCGATCGTTTGAGAAGCCGGCCGCCCGCAAAAATCTTCGAGTTTCACGCGTTCGCGCGGCCTCACGTATTCCTTAAGTAGGTTGCGTGGTTTTACGACGAATTTAGAGATCTATTGCGGTCAATTTAATCAAGATTCGGGTCCGGAATGCATTAGGTAAGTCTAAAATAAGTTAACATTAATTTCCTGATTGCGATGGCGTGTGATTTATCTCGTACATGTGTGTTCGTGTCTTGTGCTTGTACGTGTTCTAATCCCTATTGCGATAGTAGATTAATTTTTGCCTAGTCTTTTTCTATTTAATGAAAATTCAATTTTCTTTATGCAAATTATATTTACTTATATAAAAATTCTTTTGCTAAATCATAACTTCAAACTGTACAAATGTATTCTGTGAACTCACAATCAATAGACATCTAAGGAATATGCAGTTCATTCCTTATAATCGGTGAACACGTTTTCAACTTTAGTTTCTTATTTTAAAAATTATTTTTTTCTTTCATTATACTGCTTGTAAATTTGTAATTATTCTTATTGAAGTTGTTTTGATTCTTCTAACCATATAAATGACTGTTTTTTCTGATTACATTCAATTAAATGTCATAGATATTTTCAATAAACATTGTATAGATAGTTTATAAAGGAATTTGGTTAAATCTTTCTCCATTTATATATATAAAAAATTAATGTTGCTAATAAAAGTAATTAAGTATTTGTACTTTCTTTATTATATTGTTTTAATTATGTTGTATTATTGATATTTTAATTGATAATTTTGAATTTATTTACTACAATGAATGTAATATATATGTATATATATATTTAAATATCAGAATTTATTTCTATATATTATTATGCATCATTATATATATTTAAATTGAAAATATTTTAAAATCAAATAAATGTTATATATTTAATATTAAGTTTAATTTAATATTATTTTAATTAATTATAATTATATATGAAAATTATAAATAATTACAAATATATATAAAAATGCAATAATTGTTTAAATTTTAATATAGTTATTATTAATATTTAATTTTATAATTCGTATGTGAACATAAAAATTTTAGAAAATTTAAGATTATTAAACATTAGAATATTATAATTATAATTGTTATATTAAAATATGTTTAATTATTGTAATTTTATTTTAATATAATTTTTTTTGAATACTCAGGTATATATTTATCCTCGCGCATTTGTAACTGGGTGAGTGGAGGAAATAAATTAACTAGCTTTTGTAATTTTTCAATAGACAGTGAAAGAATAGCACTCCACAAAACAAATAGTAGTAGTGATATATCAGAAAAAATGGCACTACCTAGTAGAGCGCGAGTTTACACCGATGTGAATTCACACAAGTCTAGAGATTATTGGGACTATGAATCCTATGTTGTTGATTGGGGGTAAGTGTATAATAAAAGTTTATCTGTCTATATATATATATATATGCATCTACAAATGTATATATGCATGCATTCATTTATACATATTTTTCTTATTTATTTTAATTATAATAAATTATTTGTTATATAGACAACAAGATGATTATCAACTAGTGAGAAAATTAGGCAGAGGAAAATATAGTGAAGTATTTGAAGCTATTAATATTACAAATAATGAAAAGTGTGTTGTAAAAATTTTAAAGGTAAAAAATACAGATTATGTTTTAATAATAATTTTATTAAAATTAATAAGAAATATTAATTTTTATATGATTTTAATGTTTAGCCTGTAAAAAAGAAGAAAATAAAAAGGGAGATTAAAATCTTAGAAAATCTAAAAGGAGGGACCAACATAATTACACTCCAAGCTGTTGTTAAAGATCCTGTATCAAGGACACCGGCACTGATATTTGAACATGTGAACAACACAGATTTCAAGCAATTATACCAGACGCTAACAGACTACGACATAAGATACTACCTCTACGAATTATTAAAAGTGCGTGTATTGTTAAGTGCAATGGAACCAAGTATCAGTCCAATGTGAAATCTTCGAGATTATTAATTTGATAGATGTAGGTGCATATCATAGGTTCAAGGAAGAGTTCGAAAATATTTCATTTATACAAATTCATTATTTTCTCTTTATTATCATTCTTTGTCATAATTAGTAATAGTATTCTTAGATCAAAATATTTGATTGATGATTTATTCTATTGAAATTATCTTACTTTCATTATTTATTTCTTTAAATGCTATAGAAAAATTAGATTTTTAAATTATTTATATACAGCAACCATGAATTATTTTCTTTTTTTTTCTGTTTTTTCTTTTCTTTCTCTTTTTCTTTTTCGTTTTTTTTTTGGGGGGGGGGGGGGTTAATATTCTTTATTTTCATGATTGGATATAATAAAATTTAGTAATTTTAAAGATTTAATATTTTGCATAAAAATTTTTAAAAGTGAATATAATAAAGGAAAATATGATGTAATATTTTTCTGTAAAAATGAAGGAATCGTTCTTGTTTATTTGTCAAAAGTATATAAAAAGTATCCTTAGTTTCAGAAATTTTTAAAATTTTCGGACTCATGAATATTTAAGTAAGTAATGTGTCGATAGTGTTCGATCCATTTTACATCTATGGCTAAATAACATGTTAAAAAAGCATTAATGATATATAAGACGCAATTGTTTTTTTTTTGTTTAGGCATTAGATTATTGCCATAGTATGGGAATAATGCATAGGGACGTTAAACCGCACAACGTTATGATAGATCATGAAAATCGAAAGTTACGGTTAATCGATTGGGGTCTAGCAGAATTTTACCATCCTGGTCAAGAATATAATGTACGAGTAGCCTCGCGTTATTTTAAAGGTCCAGAACTACTTGTAGATTATCAGGTTTGTATTGATCATATCATAAATTTAATATAAATTAATTTTATTATATACTGGTTAATAATTTTAATATATAGTTTTAATTATAAATGTTGTTTCTTTTCCTACCGCAGATGTATGATTATTCATTAGATATGTGGTCTCTTGGATGTATGCTTGCAAGTATGATATTCAGGAAAGAACCGTTTTTTCATGGACACGATAATTACGACCAATTAGTGAGAATTGCAAAAGTTCTTGGAACTGAAGAACTATTTGAATATCTTGAAAAATATCATATTGAATTGGATCCTCGCTTCAATGATATTTTAGGCCGACATTCACGTAAACGCTGGGAACGTTTTATGCATTCAGAGAATCAACATTTGGTATCGCACGAAAGTCTTGATTTTCTTGATAAACTTTTGCGTTATGATCATTATGAAAGACTCACCGCACGTGAAGCTATGGAACATCCCTATTTTTGTAAGTACTATAATGTAATCAAATTTTGCACTAAGTTCTTACAAAATAACAATAATAAACTGATGAGAAATGATTATTTTATTTTAATATTGTTTTTTTCATTCATCTTAGATCCAATAGTAAAAGATCAGGGTCGATTGAACATGGTATCATCGTCACCTACTCCCATAACAGGTTCGTTGCCTGTAGGTGAGTAACGGCCCAGGTAATGTCACCACCTCAATTTCCAATTTATAATTATTTAACCATATCATTCACGTATTGTTGAATCGACCATGAGAATGCCGTGAATATATAATTTCGCATCTTCGAATAAGATGTGTATCGATTGAACATCCATGAAGTTTGTATTGATTCGAATTTACAACTTCTATTTTACGATATTTATAAAAAACAAGAATGAGAAAAATGCCGGAAATATGAACATGTGTTTGTATTATATTGTACGAATACGTAGTTCTGTTGGCACTCAATTGAATGCATGAAATCAATTGTTGACATCGTCCGGCATTGTAAAATTTAACTAATTCGCAATGATAGATAAACACTGTTTTTGTAAAGTGTTCAAACGTTGAGCGTGGAAACACATTTATGTTGAAATAAATCATTAATATTAAGTATCCATCGGAAACTTTTCCCATTGCGAATTAGTTAAAGTAAAAAATTGTGTTACGCTTTACGCAAGGTCATTCCAGTCATCTAAATAATGAGACCAAGATTTTCTCCGTTGTGGCCGGAATATAAACATCTATTAATTTTTCTTTAATCTGAAGTTTCTCAGATGTATGGAATGACTAATGCGACTTATAGTCATATTATAAAGAAAACATACGAAATAGAATAATGTCGACTGTTAAAAATATGATTACGATCTTCTTTTAAGTAATATGTATTTTATTTTTCACGATACATTGTACTTTAGAATTTTCAAATTTTCTCGACTATTTTTTTATCTTCTTTTTCGTCTTTTTAACAAGAAGATCGTTTCAAATGGTCATAATGTGACTAAAAATGCAACTAAACAAATGTTTGATTTAAAATATTTAAACGATTCAAGTCTATATGTCGTTTAGTATCGATTAATATATAATTAGAATAAAATGTATAAAATGCTGACTTTTCTTATATTGTTATATCGAGTATCAGTTATAGCAATGCCTCGCCGATTATCAAGGATGATGTATTTTTTCCTCGAGGAAGAAGTCGCACGTACTATTAATAACACTTGAAAGAAAATGTTTGATTCCTCCTTATTAAATGGTGAATATTATAAAAATTAATTTACTTAAATGCGAACCTGATTAGTGCAATAGCTTCAAAAATTTTCAATTCATTTAAATGAAATAATCGTTTACTGGGTAATGTTTGATAACTAATAAATACAATGTGCAATTAAAACCTTATGATTTAAAGAGTATACCAAATATATTATTTCCAAAATTTATTAATTATTATGGTAACAGATATTTAATCTTTTTTTTATAATAATTATTGGTATTAGACGACAACTGGACTTGAATTGCTTAGTCATTTTAAAACAGACATTTTTTTAGTCAGTATGCGTATTTGTAAGGAGCGTGCGAAGAATCAAACATTTTCATTTAGGTATCGATACTTCGCGCGAGGGGCTTAATCCCATCCCTAAGCGTGACTGTGAGCAGCGTACCGGTTCGTGGAATAAACCGACTGAAAAATATGGTGGGACAAGTTGGAAATGGGACTCAGAAAACGATGAAGTATTCATCACATCCATTACATCCTTAACATACAATTTTCAACTTTTGATTATTTATGTACGAAAAGTTGAATCTTCCATTCCACCTAAATTTGCAAATTTAAGAAGAAGAAAAATATATTATGTGATGGTGGACCACTCCTTACATAAATGGCAATTATATTTTGACGTGGTGTATAAAATTCTACATTTTAGACATTCCTTGATTTTCATCGTGGGTATTACTTAAAGGAATTCAGGTTTGATATATTGGAAATAAACTCTATGCGATAAAATTTTAAATGGCATAAGAAGTATAAATGATACGTTTCAAAGTATTTTTGTTACATTGCAAATCATTTAGAAACAAAAGAAAGTTTACAACATTAAAATTAAGTCTATGAAGTACGTGCTCTGTCCATATTGGCCGGTGTGCATGTGCTGTTAATAATTGTATGTTTCTTTTCTGTGTTTTTATAATCTGTCATTTCTATTGTGTTCCTTTGACGCTGCTACTAATGTCACGATCGCGGGAAATCTGTAAATGCATAAAGACGCGATTAGATCATGTTATGTCACTTGGAAGATCGTCCGTTATTACATGAGACATTATAATGAAAATGATGCAAAACAAACCATGTGTATTTGCATTCATAAAGCGCGTACTACACACACATACACATAGCACATATGTGCTTACACTTAACATGTACCTTAGGCCGCTCGGTTTAGTACTTTTAACGATGATAAAAATGTTCGTTTATATCTGATACAATGATAGTTGAATAAAATGTTTGTTATAGCCAAGTACTCTTTGTGCTCTGTGAATACCTATATATCCAGTAATAAATGTTACCAAGCTACTGGTAAAAGGCATCATTGATCAAATGCTTTTAAACCATCATTTTTAAGGTCACGCTTAAAATTTTAGCTCTTGTTATTTTCATATTTCTATAATAATTTTTAAATTATATCAAAGAACATTATAGAGTCTTAATTCAATTTTCATTGACCAAAGTGAGAATTCACAGGCACCTTAAAACACTTGGCGCCAGCAGAAGCCTATGTACATGAATTAAACACACGCTGATAAAGGAAGAAAAAAAAACATTTGTATTGCTGTACCTTGTACATCTGATATGCTGGTCAAAAACTTAATATCGATAACAACCATTAAATCAATCAATTTATTTCATATACAGCATTACCAATGTGTTTCTTATAAATTGAATATATAATTATTTATATACGACCGTAAGTCAGTTTATTGTGTACATTGGAAAAATTTACTTCGAGAGAAAGAGGGGGAGAGAGAGAGAGAGAGCAAGCGAACGAGCGAGAGAGAGAATGGAAGAGAGACGTACTTTTAAAGAATGTATAGGAAGAGCACACTCCACTTGTAAACCATGTCCTTTCGTATTATTTCGAAAGAATTCATCAGTTCCTATACGCATAAATTACGCATAAAGTACGGTCAATTCAGTATATATATATATATATGTATATATATATATATATATACATATATATATATACATATACATACATACATATATACATATATACATATATGGAACACGCGCGCACGCGCGTGTTACACATACGAACTACACATTTACAAACTTACATACACACACTCATCATATATATGTAGAGTATTTTAAATGCGTACCCTATCAAGCGGAGTGTGAATTTAAATTCAAAGAGTGGGGTATGCTTTCGAATATTATCGGCTAAAAGAGAAATGTTTGCTTCTTATTCTGATTATTGCGCCGTTTTTGCCATATTATTACATATTTAAAGCATTTATATGTATATATATATGTATATTTTATTTTTCAATAATGTATAAAAGATATATATACATATATACATAACACAGATAAGTGATAATAAACGAAAGAGTACGTAGATGTATAACAAAGATAATGCACTATAAATGTTAAAGATGTAAAAAGGAAATACTTTATGTACCAGTAAAGTATAAATACATTTTATTTATTTCGTTTTTTATAATCGTGGTATTGCTTGAACACGATTTACAAATATCTATTTTCAAGTCTTTTACATGGCAAGAACGGCGTATACATAATTGTTTATCTAAATTTGATAACCCTTCCTGTTCGTACGTTAAGTTTATGATAATCTAGTTTAGTTTTATAGAAAAAAAAAAAAGAATATTGAATAACTCCTATTTAAATCTGCAAATGAACTTAAACAAAAAAAAAAAAAAAAGAAAAGAAAGAAAAAATTAAAATAATGAATTGTCACTAATGTAATTAATATATTATGCTAAATTTGAACGTTGATATTTTTATCTCGCAATCATAATTTAACACTATTTTGACAAGAAAATGTATTGTTAAAAGAAAATCATTAGAAAAAGTCGTTCTATTATTATCATATATCATAGATCATATATCATAGGTCAGTTAAAAAATTTTTCCCTATTTTGTTAAAGAACGGCTATATTCTGAGAAAAAAAGTGCACCAATTTTTCAATATATATACACCAAATGTACATTGAACTTTTATATTCATTCAACAATACCAAAGTGATAAAGTGAAATTGTTTATATACTTCCTCGTTTTCTGTTTCTCTCTCGATTCTAAATTTTTTTTCTTTTTTTCTTTTTTCTAATAAATACGGGATATTGGGAAATAGACTATTTTAACACAATTGAGGTATGACAATAAAATTAGCCAAAGTGCACGGAATTAATTTGACTTAATGTCGTCGAATAGTGAAAACATGACGAAAATAAGAAATCCATCCTGTATTACATGATCACATGTTTTTAATGTTTTTGCAATATTTACTCTTAAAATTAGTAATACGATGGCTAAATAAAAGATAACAAAAAATTACAAAAAATTTTTTTTCTGCGGGTACAAAATACTTGTGCATATATGAAGTGTAACAACAATATATATAATTTATAATACGAAATGCTGTAATACTAAACAATGCTGTATAGAATTAATTGAAAAAGAAACAAATACAATTTTGTTTGTAATTAAAAAAAAAAAAATAAACCTTATAATTATTGAGTTTTTCAGTGAAAGACTCTATTTTATGCTAATTTTCTATTTTTTATATATAATTATCATATAATAAATTTTATTCTCAATCATTGTAATTAAAGATTTTAATGAAAAAATATAGTATATAAAAGTCCATTTTTATAAACATGAAATAAGTAAAGAAGAAGATATACAAAATCCGTATTTATTTACCTATATCAATTTTCTGAAATTGAAGATTTTATATTTTTTGAACTTCTCAATTTATATTTTAATTATTTTACTTAAAAAAAAGAAAGAAAAAAAGTATAATTTATAAAAAATTTTATATTTTATATATATATTTTATGATAATTATGCTCTTTTTAAGGTTATTCAAATAAGAAGTTATGTTTCTAATTTTGAAATTATTTTAAAATTCAATGAATATGTAAGTATATCGATCATAAGTATATATTATTATTTTGCAAATTAATAATTTATTTTAAATAAATATGTAAGTTTATATGTTATGTACAAAATAATTCATCTATCACGATACATGAAAATACTTACTATTACTTAGAAAAGATTGGCGTGTGCATCATAACTGTAGTATCATACCTTACGTATTCTTTTAAAAATTATTTTTTAATCTCAATAATGGATGAAATTGATGGATTGCGACAAAAAATTAAAGAACTCGAAAACAAATTGCTTAAAGAACAACATAAAAATATGTTTACAACAAGAGAAAAAATAGAACATATGTCAAGTGAAGTGAATGATTCAAATCCATACAGGTAATTTGTGTTTATATAAGATTTTTTTATATTATCAAATATTTTACAAAAATATATAAATATTTAATATAATTTTATACATTTTTACAATTATTCTTTAATACAACTAAACTTAAAATATAAAATTTTAATATTATTTTTGTTCTTTCATTAGTCGTTTGATGGCATTAAAACGTATGGGTATAGTGAATAATTATGAAAGTATAAAAGAATTAACAATTGCTATAGTTGGAATAGGTGGAATTGGTAGTGTAACTGCAGAAATGCTAACAAGATGTGGAATTGGCAAGGTAATAATATTATATAAATTTATGAAAGATTTTTCAGTTCTTTATAAATAACAAATAATATAAATTTTAGTTGATTCTTTTTGATTATGATAAAGTAGAAATGGCAAATATGAATAGACTTTTCTTTCAACCCTATCAAGCTGGTCAAAATAAAGTAGAAGCAGCATCAATGACATTACAATATATTAATCCAGATGTAGAAATTGAAACTCATAATTACAATATTACTACAATGGATCATTTTGAAGACTTCATGAATGTTATAAGGTTACATAAAAATATTTTTTGAATAATTATAATTAGAAATATTTGATTCACATAAATTTTTATTTTTAGCACAGCAAGTTTAAATAAGGGTCCAGTAGATTTAGTTCTAAGTTGTGTAGACAATTTTGAAGCACGGATGGCAATTAATACTGCTTGCAATGAACTTAATCAAAAATGGTTTGAAAGCGGAGTTTCTGAAAATGCAGTTTCTGGGCATATCCAATTTATTGTTCCTGGAGAAACAGCATGTTTTGCGGTGAATAAATATTACAATTAAAATATGAATAATAACTTAGAAATTAGATAGCAAATATTTTATTTCTAGTGTGCTCCTCCATTGGTAGTAGCAGAAAATATAGATGAAAAAACATTAAAACGAGATGGCGTTTGTGCAGCATCTTTACCAACAACAATGGGAATTGTTGCAGGTTTTTTAGTTCAAAATGCACTTAAGTACCTTTTAAACTTTGGTGATGTTTCTTATTATTTAGGTTATAATGCTATGCAAGATTTTTTTCCTAAAATGATATTAAAACCAAATCCAAATTGCGAAGATAGTTATTGTAGAAAACATCAAGAAGAATATAGATTAAGACCAAAACCAGAACATAAGATAAAAGAGATAGTTGAAGATACGCCTTTACACGAAGATAACGAATGGGGTGCGTGATATATATATATATATATATATATATATATCAGTGTAAAATTACTAACTAAAATCTTATGTCATTGTAGGAATTTCTCTTATCGATGAACGAGATCAACAAGTAGACGAAAATAAATATTTAACGTCAGTATATGTAAAAGAAACAAACTATGGTTCTGATTCAATTGATTCGCAAATCAATCAAATTTCGTCCGAATCTAATATTAGCTTAGAAGAACTAATGGCACAAATGAAATCTATTTAATTTTTGTTCATTTACAATAACATTCATAATGTTATTTATGCATTCCATTTATATTTTTCATATTATTAGATAAAAAATAATATGTTAAAAAAAAAATAAATAAAAGATAAGTGAATATTTAATATATATCACAATATTATGTACATACACATGTACATTGTAGATATACATAAGTATGAAATATTGAATAAAAGAAATTTATTACAGTTAAATGTCGAAACGTTCAAAACAAAGATTTTGGCCTTCTTCCTCATAATCTTCTCTTGTTACTAGAAGATTTGAAAATATTGAATCTTTGGAAAGTGTTTTTCCACCCTGCCATGCATATGTGACTGGGCTAGAAATAAAGATAATAATAAATTATATATACATTGAACTTATTAATTATATTGATTTTAAATTATATTGAAATTTTTTTATTACTTTTCGGGTAAGTGCACATTTATCGTGTATTCTGCAGGTGCTAAACTTCTAACTTCTTTATAAATTCTTTCCTGGAATCCAGGAAATTTTGCATTACCTCCAGTAATAATAATATTGGATAAAAGGTGTGGCCATGTTTCTTCATCACAAGCTTTTAAACAATCCATAATTGCTTCTGGAATACCCATTTGACGAATACCGACATCCGACGGAAAAAATAAAATTTCTGGTATAGCAAATCTCTCATTGCTTAATCGTAGAGTTTGTTGTTCATTAGGAGGTTCTGGATTTTTTAGGAAACCACGTCTTAATGTTGTATAATCCGGTAGAACATAATCTTTGATTATAGGATTGTTTTCTATTTTATTTTTGGCAATGTCCATATCTTTAAAAAATTCTTGAGAAACAAAACAGGAATCCTCTTTCACTTGATTTATTACGTAAGTTTCATCCATAACATGAAGTTGACGATAAGATATAATTTCTTTAAGATGATTTGTAAGAAGTTTTCCACCCACATCAATACGTCTAATACCTTCTTTAATTTTAGTATCATTTACATATGGTACTATATGAGTAAAACTATAACCACTATCAACTACGATGCAACATTTTGTATTAGGATTTTCTGTCTTATACTGATAACAAGAAAGTGTACAGCTATTAATTCTTAAAAGACTTTGACATTCGTATTCTTCAAAAAATATTTCCATCATGGCTTCTTGAACAGTAGAAAAATTAAATAAAGGTTCAGTTACAATTACAGAAAGTTGATTCAAGTTCACCAAACAGCATTCTTTGGAGAATATATAATCCCATACAGTTTTTTGAACATCCCAATTAACAAGATATCCTTTTTGAAATGGTAAAATATAAAAAAGTCCAGATGCATCTCGACATTCTTCGATTTGACTTCCTACGAAAGGTCTTCGACGTTCACTTTTCGCTTTCATTATGCAATTTGGAACTAATCTAAAAATTAAATTGTTTTTATTTTCATTTTCTTTCATTTCATTTCAATCATAAACAATTATTTAATTACTTGACATTATCAGAAGCTAACCCAACTTTTGCAGTATAGGCACCGTTATCAAGAACAAAAGTAGAATTGCTCATTTTAACAAATAATGAAAGAATAAATAAAAAATTGATTGTTTTATTTATTATTTAAATTTAATTGATCGTTATTTCAAAATATAGATGAAAATAAATTTCATTTACACAACACGTAATACAAAATACTTCATTTTTAAATCACAGAGGATAAAATTCAATGAATTTTATGTTATGCTTACTAGAACTCAATCATTTTAACATTATTCTTAACATTACAAATTCAACTTAAGATAATCAATTAGTAATAAGTAGAATTGAAATTAAATTTCAATATAAAATCTTAAAAAAAAATAGATACTCTATAAAGTTTTATAAATTGAATCGATACATTTTATTGGGATTTTTAATCTATAATACATTAAGAAAAAAAGATAATAAATTATAATTGTAATAATTGTAATAAAATTAAACAGATATCAGGAATTGTTTTTTGAGCGTATAAATTTTAAAGAGCGAATAAACAACGAGAGAAATTAGTAAAATAGAATAAAAATTTCTGAATCAACGCCATCTCTTAGCACCGCAGATTAAATATAAATATAGAAGAAAAATAAAAATAGAACAAGAATTGATTGTCAGAGCCATCTTTTCAAAGCAATTTCTTTACGAAATATTCTAGAGATGGTTGAATGATCTTCAATCTTATTCTACTTTATCCTACTTTTCAAAAGATATCTTTGATATCCAAGAAATGGTGCTGACAGTCAATTCTTATCCTATCTCTATTCTTCTCCCACTATTCTCTATCCTTATTTTATGTGTCATTTGCGACATTCTGGAGATGGCGTTAATTTCAATATTTTTTTTTAATCAATCTTTTCTTCTACATTTGCTTTATAAAAAAGCTAATCTCCCTCAAAAAATAATTCCATTTGATTAACTTTATTCTTTCTTTGTTTAATTCATTGAGCGTAAGTATGAAAGAGAAACGCAAATGTTATGAGAAATTGTTTAATTATCGAGTTGACAAATTAAAGCTAGTCCTCTTTTAATCCAATGACTGATAGGATAATCAGTTTCTAAGAGAATTGATAATACGTAATTAGTAGAATGTCCAGTTGTCTTAAGAACACCAAAACGCGCAGAAGTAATATAAACAGGACATTCGTATCGTTCTCCTATATGAATCGCATCCATTATAGATGGTTTCATCCAAATTATTGGCATAGATTCCCAAAGTATTTTTGGATAACTTTCAGCGAGTAGCATGTTGCTCAAATTCCATCTGGCACCGGCCAAATACATCCCGTAAACATAAACACCATCGATCGGTGATTCATTCAATTCAAATTTAGGAAGTACCTAGAAAATGACAAAAATGTTTAAGGCGTTCTTTTATTTTAAAAAATGTGATTATGCTTTAAATATATTTATAACAAAAAGAACCTTGAAATCAAAATCAATTTTATCGATAGGTATCTTGTATTTTCGGGCAAAGTTTTGCGTTGTTGCTGTAAGAAAAGCATGCACGAACGAAAATCCAGATATCCAAAAGGTTTTCGGTATACCTTCTTTTAACCACTTTTTAAAGAAGTTTAATCGATCAAGAAAATCATTAATAAAATTTGGCAATGGTTTTAAACTTGGATAAGCACATGCATTTATCCAAGATAGTGGAATTTTTGCGCTTAATATATAACTACCTAAAATCTAGAATCATATATCATAATTTTTCTATATTTATCAAAATGTATGTTAGTAAATTGTGATATCATTAAATTTTGCGATACCTCTATCTCAGGGGTCATCACTATTAATCCTTTTACCGTTTTCTCTAACATATCGAGAGATTGTTTAATCTCCTGTAAGAGGATGTTATATCTTACCAATTCTTGTATTAAGACAGTATTCATTGATTCCATATAAACGATAGGATATTGTTTTTCCGCCTCCTCGATATCAAATAATTCAGGCATTCTGTCATAAATATCTTTTTTCATATTTAACATCATTTCGTCCTGTTTAATAGCATCACCTATCACTACTGCTCCTTGAATCATTAACATGGATTGAAAGAATGTATTTGCTAATTCAATATCCCGTGTAATTCCAGCATTCATATGCAATCCAAACGCTTCTGGTGGTGGATTTAAAGGGATTCCTTGAATTTGTTTGATAAAATCATCGTATTCGTATCTATCGCATATATACAAAACAAAACGTGTTAATTCCTATTTCTTTATTCTCTGATGATAAAGGTTTCAGCTAAAAAGATAAGAAATACCTTTTTGGTAAACTATATTCGGGTCCAATATCTGCAAAGGTGTAATTCGGATTTATAATTACATTCGGATTATAAAAATCATGTAATATTGTATTTAAACATCTTCTATCTCTATCATCCGTGACCCGACCACCATAATTACATTCACCGGTTAGATATATAATAGCTTTGAAAGGTACATCCTCATAATTGTTTATATACAGGTGAAGTTGTTGAACGGATATTTGAAGATCCGATTCATTGAAACCTGTATCGTGAAATTATATTTTTTTAATTACGTAAAAAGGAAAAAAGAAAGAAAGAAAGAAAGATAGAAAAATAAGAAGACATTTGATACGGACCGTATTTTATATTCCAACCTTGAGAGCCATAATTTCGTCTTTCTTGCACTACAGCATGAAAGAAACACAAAGCGTAAAGCAATTTTGAGAATGCTTTCCTTTTAACAGACTCGCCATAAAAAGCATCTATGTTTTTGATTGCTTCGGATTTATAGGATCTATCAATCGAATAAATTTGTTATTTGTAATGAAAGAATCTTTTTCTACGTGACATTTAAAACAATTCAATTATTTTTACTTTTTATTAAATATATAGATGTATGTTAAAAATTCACCTCATAATATTGTTCTGTAAACCGGTCGGAGGTTCGTTTGTCATTTTGACGCCATTTTGCAGAATCGTAATTGGGAAATATTCGGAAGGATAGCTGGTAAGCCATAAACGAAAGTGGACGTGCGTATTGGAAGGATCGAAACGGTCACAGATATCTTCCAACATAGGCATCCAAGAGGCAGCCAAGTGACAATTTTGCAAACACACCCATTCGCCGGTATATTGAGCTTGCTCGATCAATTTTTGAGCGATGGGACCTTGACCTTGACCGAGGGAAATCGAGTGGAATTTTTCTTGGAAATTCATAGCTTCCGCAAAGCTTCTCAGCGCTTCCATTGGATCTGAGCCCGGAGACAAGATGAATATCAATGGTATCAAGGAACTTGATTCCGCGAAAGATTTGGAAATATCAAAAGGTGGTGGTAATATAAACTTCAAACCCATTCCAGCTTCGACGAATTGTTGTATCTATTTGTAAAGTTTAATTTTCGTTTAATTTTCGTCTTGTGTTTTTTATAGATAGAGGCTGAATAAAAACGTGGAATACTTTACCGCGATCATTACTTTGTCCGTTCTAATCATTCTCATGATAATTAATTTCTGAAAAGGTGTTAATCTTTCCTCCCATGGTTCTGGTATCGGTGCCTTTTCTGGATTTAATAAATCGTAATATTCTTTCCACGCAACTAGATTACGTGTGAAATTAAACTGAAAATTGGTGAAGTTAGGTAATGTTTGAACTCTGCAAATTTCTCCCCAAGATTTATCTGCAAGCCAGGTTACTGGATTCTCTGGTAATCCAGCAATTACAACACCTCCGGAAAGAAAGAATGTCATTTCTTCTCTCGAGATCGCGTCCTCCGTCATTAAGATAGTCGTGTACAAGACGAACGAGTACAAAAGCTAGACCAGAAAAATTGATTAAATTAAAATCATATTAAAACTCATTCAAAGAATATTATATCAAAAATAAATATAGAAAAATATTTGACGATACGAAAGTTTACCTTGTCCTTTTCGAATAAAGATCTACAGACATTTTGATATAAGTTATAGGTAAAAGTTTCTCGAAGAAATTCCAATCTTCTTGCGAGAATTATACTTTTATTCGCAGTTTCTATCGAATTAATATATAAATTGATAAACCACATCAACGAATATTGATACATAGGATCGATGTTGGGTAGATCGGTGATCGTATAATAAAGAGCGGAACTATGTACTGCTATGGGTTTGTAATTTTGTCGAAATCCTTCGATCTGTGCCTCCGTTTTTTTCGCAGCAGCTTGTTTCTTTAATATATCAATGGAAAGAATTTTTGACGAATCTAAGATTTCTATGGCTTCCTCGTCCTCTAAAATTCTAGCACCGGCCACTGATAAAGTTTTCAAAATATTATCCTCGACTTGCAGCAAAGCTTGTCTGTTCGCGGCACTTTGAACGATCAAGTATTCTCGCTTTTCCTGCAAATCTGGCCTCTCCTTCGCAACCACGATACCTAACAATTGATCTTCTAAAGCGCCAATCGTTAAAGCGAAATTGATCACAGTTACTTTATTGAAAATCTCCGGTAGATAATGCGGATTGCGTAATTTCGTTGTAATATACAGTTTGAATCGCAGATTATATTCGATTACTTTTTCGCCAAGTGTGATAAACCAGAAAGGGCCCATTTTATATATCGCCTTCATTAATATCGGCTCAAGAGGTGGTGTCAATTCTTCAAGCACGTTCTCTATCAATACTGGTTTTCCTAAAAACAAATATTCAATGTTGTTTCCATATTGTTTCAAAATTAAATTTGACGCGCGGGGATTAAAATTGAGCAAAATTGTGTCAAGATTTTATTGGAGTCGAAAGTTAAAAGTTATATAGGTTAGGTTAATTAACTAACTCGTCGAAACTAATCGGAATGCAAATTACGACTCGAGAAAGGAGAAAAGAAAAGAATAAAATTTTTTAGCATAATAGATTACCATATTCCAGCGCTTTTTCTATGATATACATATAATTTACATCTGTCAATTTCACGATTTCCAATTCGTTTTGTTTCTCCATGTTACGAATCCATTTATTAGCTTGACTCTGAGGATCGATGAATAAACTCCATCTTTTTGAATTATCCATGATAATGGCGTTCTCGATGGAAAATAAGTCTCGAGGTAGTCCAAATATGTTCCAAGAATTGATCTTTACCTCGGATCCGAGTATCTTAACGAAATCAAATTCTTCCGAGCATGGGATTTTCAAATTCTTAACGTAAGTCGTCCATTTTTCCAAGCTTTCGATACGATAAGGAGATGTGAATGGACCAAGATACGCTATCATGCTACATGAAATCAAAATATCACCCGGCAAAGTATCGTAAAATTTTTGTAAGTTCTTGGCCGCAAGGGTCCAACGATCCTTCTCTCCTCCCAATCCGCTAATTAACTTTTCAGCGCGGATCAATTTATTTCTACATATTGTTACCTGTAAAAGATTCACGATTAATACAAAAGGTATACGAGATTCGTTCACGTTTATTATTTTACTTCGTTCTCCAATTCGATCTTTTTGGCGAGTATCACTCGTAAACTTTCCTTGAGAACGTTCAACTTTTCGGTCAGTTCGGCAAGCAATTCGCGTCTTTCGTTTAAAAATTTGACAGTGTTCTCGTAATCTCGTTGCGCGATTTGTAATTTTTCCCTTTTCGGCGCAACTACTTTTATTACCTCGTCGTACAATACCATAGCTCTCACCCATTTACAGAGACCTTCGGCTGCCGACGACGCCCTAGCTACTATCTTCGGCTCGAAATTTTTATCGGTCATGTAGACTGTTTTTATTTCCTGTATTTAGAGATAAAATAAATAATAATAATAATAATAATAATAATATAAAAAAATGGAATGATAAGTTGACCATACGTTCATGATATGCGAAGGAATGTTATCCTTGTCGTATTGTCGCAACGTTTCTAAAAATTTCATGTCGCCCAATAAACGTTTGCTCGGAGTCCAATAGTCGTTCTCCTTTTTACCGGTAACTGGATCCTCGACTCGAAGAGGAGGTATGCCCAACATCACGCACACCGCAGCCATAACGAGTCTTACTCCGGCCGGAGGACTTCTCATTGTTCTTACAACCGCTATATCGGCCGGCTTTAATGTATCCAGAGCGGCTAAAATTAAAGTAATGATAAATAATAATGGATGAAGAACATTTCTATAGAAGGTATTCTGAACATAATTGGTTAACAAGTTGTACCCAATGCCTCCTCGAGGGCGGGCAAAGCCTCGGCCAAATCTGCCTCGCATTCAGTCTTCAGATTCATTGCAATTTCGGCCTGTATATTTGCCATGTCTTCGTCCTTCTTCACCAAGATCGTAGCCTTCTCCACGCTGATATTCTCGGTCTCAATTTTCTTCATCGTCTCGGTCGTCTCGTGGGCCGATGCTTCGAGTTGGGGCCGTAATTCCGAAAGCGTTACTCTCATTTCGCCAATTTGCTCGGCCGCGAATTGAAGTTTATCCAACCCGTTGAGATAACGATCTCTGTTGCACGGGGAAAGGAAGGAAGAAAGGAGGAGAGCAAATGAATGGTCTTAATCATTTGGCAAGCAATTACACATGTATCATACACGCACACCTCGCGAGGCTCAGCTCTTCTTGTTTTTCTTTTATCAGTTCCGCGTAAGATTGTATGAGATCCAGGAAGCCGGCCGTCGTGATGTAAGTTTTTCTACCCGTGTCGCTGTAAAAACGATCACTGATATCTTTGGCGCAAGCGTGGAAAAATTTACAGGCGATCACCGCGTTAACCTTCACGGTCTCGTCAATGTTGATGTCAGTGGTGCTGCGTAGAGCTACTTGTTCGAGAGCGTCCTCGGGCCACACGTCGAACCAATCGATTGTGCAACAATTGACGAGACTTGGATAAAGTCGAAGCCTGATTCTGAAGGTGTCCCCAATAGGGCTGAAGCATAGCATTATGTGCAACTTTTCTTTGCAACGGTTACGGAAGAAGGAAAGTATCGCGAGCACCGATATATCTAAATTCCGATCACCGCCCTGAGCGGCCAACCGAGTCATCTCGATGATTTCCTGTCTTTCTTCGATGCTGAATATGTTCGGTACCTCGCCAGAATTTAACAAGCTGTCGATATCGTTTAGGAATATGTCGGTTTTCATTTGTCCTTCGGTGAGCAAAAATACGTAATCCTTGCCTATTCCACCAGAATTTATCAGCACCTATAAACGATACGAAATATTATTATCGTTGTCATTATTATTATTATTATAATTAATAAAAATCGTGATCGATTTATAAAAAGCAAACCTTTTTTACATCGTCCCGCCATTCTTGTAGGCCATACATGCTACCCATTTCCGGTTGAAACAGACCAAGATTGGCTATGTTCGAAGCCAATTTTGTTAAAGATTGCCTACCGGATCCACCTACGCCAACCATCAGCAAACTACCGCATGGGATTGCTAATATACGACAGATTCTGGCAAGATGTTCCAAAGCGTAACGGAACAGGACAATGTCCATCTTGTGTCTGTGCGTAATGTTGTACTCCTCGAGATAAGAGATGGCTACTTCTAAATATTCGTCCATTGATTTTACCTCTTCGTAGCGGCGATCGGCCGGGATCGTGTCCACGTCCATAAAAGTGCCGAATATCAAACTTCGCAAGCTTTCCTCCGTTAATTGATCATCGACCTTTGGCAAATAATCGAATACCGTATCGAACGATTCCCTTAGATTAGCAGTAACCGCTTCCCTGATCCTTATGAACAGCCAGTGTCGATCCTTCGTATCGATTAACCTATCGCCAAAAACTCTCAAAGTTTCGTGTACCCAAAGTTTCGTGAAATCCGATCTCGTTTCGACAGATTCTACTCTTATCATGGTGCAACCGGTTATCACACGAGAAAAATCACGCAGGTTAAACAGATAATGGGATTTCGCCGGGGTCGGCCTAAGCTCTTCCTGAGCGTGTTGAAAAATATTCATGGTCGCGTTCACAATATCCATGATAACCGGCATGATTGCCGTGGTGAAACCATGCCGTTGTAAACCAATGAACGCGATGTTTGTAAAAATTCTGGTCATGGTCTCTTCGGAAAATTTATCGATGGTGAACAGATTAAAATGTCTCAAAAATCTGTTGTACAATACCTGTCTACTGCCACCTGGTAGGCCCATTGCGCACACGAACATGGTATCGTATATGTAAATCTTTTCCGGTTTCTTCAGATCGAACCAAACTTCGTGATCGAAAAATTGTCGTAGCAGCTCGATCGGTGGTTGGGAACCGTAAAGTTCTTTCGCAGGCATGTTGACATCATCGATAAACACGATACAAAACGTGCCAGCTAAAGGGCCATATTTGTTTCTGCGTCTCTTGTATAATTTTAGTATAATCAGTTCTTGCGTCTGCGCAGCAGTAATGTGCGGAGTGAACGTGATGAAATTCGGTAGATATTCCTCTTCGCCTAATTTGTTCATGATCAAATCGTTGATGTAAAAACTTTTTCCAGTCCCCGTGTCTCCGTACAACAAGAAACGTTTGTGATATCGAATGTGCTTTAAAAATAAAGATTGATATTTTACGGTATCGACAGTGGGTATTATCAATTGAACGATACTTCCAACATCCGAAAATTCCTCCTGTCTTGCCATGTCGCTGAAACGTCTCCACGCCCCTCTTCCACGATACGTGTAAAAACAATCGTGAATCAGCTCCTCGGTCGGAATAGAGATTAAAATTTCAAGAAGAAATTCGGGAAGCGGGTATTCCTTTTGTTCGTTCTTCCAAAAACTTAAGAAAAAGTTGTTGAATAATATACGGGAAGGGAAATCTAGCGTACCACCGATTCCCCAAACCATCGACATTAACATAGTTGCTTGTAGCCACGACAAAACGAATTGCTCGAAAGTTGCTAGATTTTGTTGCACCGCATCTTCCATATATATCTCGAAGATATTTAACGTTGATACAACTTGATGAATTTGGCCAACAAAGATAGTCGTGTGACAATTTTTTCGAATAAATTCTAAACACGGATCCATCAGCCAATGGAACAATTCTTTGATCTCGTTCTCGTGATTCTCTTTCCATATGGGATTTAATATATTTATCCAAGAATCAAGGAACGGTTTCCAGCCAAGAACACGCGGTTCCACGTATATCATTCCACAACGGGACACCGTGGCGGGAGACGCGTGCTCAAGATCCATTGTCTCGAATATCATTGACATTACACCGGTCATTTGTATTATCTCACCGGATGTTAGACAAAGTTTTTTATTGTCGTCGAGGACGGTATTGAGATTCTCGATCCACACTGCATCGACCGGCCCGTCAAAAATAATCCATTTCCTGTCGGGTGTGTCTTCGGTGGAATACCTTCGAAATGCAACTGCGCAAATACCGTCGGTCCATTCGGAAGAAACAGGATCGAAAAATCCGTATAGCTGATCCAACGTTATAGATTTTGGATTGATCGTGAAATATTTTGTCGCAACTCCGTTCGGCTCATTCTGTTCAAACATGGTGGTCAAGGCGTTGGCCAAAGTGTGAAGTATCGATGTCTTACCGCCGAACGGTTCGCCGACGAGCATAAATCCATGGCGGACGATCATCATTTCGAACGTTTGTATGATCTTCAAGAGAAAACCGTCGACCGGTTGTAAGTTTTTTTTATCGCAAACTTCGTGGACAGCTTTTAAGAGTACATCGTAACTCGGAGCGGGTAATTCCAGTCCGGGGAACAGATCGGAGACGATACCTTGGAAAAGTGGGACGTCGTGCGCCAAGAATTTCGGCAGATTAACGTCGATCACGGATCTAAGTAAAAGCACGGACTCGTTCTCGTCCGGCAATTGTAATTTGATATTTTGTGCAGCTGTTAGCACCGTTTTCACGGCTCGCATCCCGTAGTCGTAATGGGATTGGGAAGATAATTGTTCCGAGCATAGTTTGTACGTCGTTACGATCTTCGTGGAGAGTTCTCGGGCTGTACCGAATCCAGAAGAATAAAGAAATATTTCGGCGATCATAGCGTAATCGGGCACCATCATTGCCACGCTTCTAAAAAGAACTTTCAAATTGTCGGGTAACTCTGAACGACCCGCGTAACCAGGATTCATCGTGATGCAAACGTAAACGGCGGCATTTAATTTCAATTCGGTCCCCTCGAAAACGAATGTTTCCAGTTTGGCGCGTACGGCTTGAATGATGCAAAGAATTTGTTGCGCGACCACGGACAACACTTCGAGATCGATTCTGTTAAATTCGTCGAAGCAAGACCATGCTCCGCACGAGGCGAGACCTTTGAAGAATTTTCCCATATTTTTGTAATCGAGACCTTCGGAACAATTGAAAACTACGCATTGTACGGCTACAGCTCTGCCCAAGTCTTTCGTCGTTTCTGTTTTACCGGTACCGGCTGGACCTTCCGGTGCTCCATTCAAGTTCAAGGAATAGGCACCGATTAAAGTGCGATAACATCTATGAGTGAATTATCTTAAATTTTAAATTTTCTCAAACAATCTTGATTTCTTGATTTCTTTAATTTTTTTACCTATCCGTTAGAGGAGTGATAACGAGACGAGGACAATTCCCAATGTATTCGTAAGCATAATTCACAGTTGTATAAATAATTCTAACAAATACGTCATCTTCCCAATAATAGCGCAATTGGGCCAACCATTCAAAATCCATTTCATCTATGATCTTCCTGTCGATCAATAATTTTACGACATCCTTGGCATGCACGTCCAAGGTGATAAGAGCATTTAACGTAGTTCGATTTTGTTTCGTTAAATATCCTGAGAAATTTTTAGATTTTATTTAATTAAGTTTTTTTTTTTTTTTTACATCTTCATAGTTACTACCTTTAACTAATTCAACCATTTCCAAGATTTGGAACATGAGTTTGTCATGAAGTACCTCCATTGTCGAAGGTATACGAGTCATAAGGCTATTTTGAACTTCCATAGTCCAGTAAATTTGAGATACGCATAGGACAACCATACCAGGCCAAATAAGTACCCACAAGTCTCGTTTATTGACCTCATAATCGAGATAGCTCATAAGGATTTCATGTCGTACAGATTTCAACATTTGTTCCTCCACCTATAACCTCAAAATGTACTCTCGTGTATTCGAATGAAATTTTTTTCTTTTTTCTACAAACACGTTATGGTCACACGCACTTGAATGAGCCATCGTTCCACGCAACCTCGCGCCGCAGCGGTCGAAATCCTTTCCTGCATTCTAACTTCCTCGTAGTCTTCACTAACATGGAACATATTTCCAATTGTTCGTCAAATCTGCCGAGTTATGCATTATTAGGAGATCAATATTTTTCGATTGTCGCATTCTTAATCATTGACACCTTTGCATAGTTTACCGCAGCCTGTTTATGCCTTCGAAACATTTTCGAAGATGCGGTTGGACTCGAAGAGGTTCCTTTGTTTCGGATAATATTTCGAGCATATCGTCGTTACTTAAGAAGAAAAATCGTGGAAAGAAGAGCCTCTTCTTTTCTAAGTAATTCAATACACCCTCGTTTACTTTTTCCATCAATAGATTAGCTTCTTGCATGATTTCTAGAAGACCCACCTATGTAAATAGATCTTGTTTACTTTTCTTTGACACGTAATACGATACTTCCAATAATACTTACAGAACCAGCAGTTTCTCGTACACGAGGATCCTTCGCGACACCATTCATCGCGCTACGAAATATTCTATCTACTTGAAAAAATAATACCTCTTCTTCCGGTAATTGCGCTACGATATCTTTGCTTGAAAAGATAGGTAATAAATACATCCATTGTACTTGAACCTAACAAAAATATATAGTGTGTGTGTATATATATATACACTTATATATAGGAATAAAATGTATGTATAAGAAAGATAAGAAGGATGAATGACGAGATAAAGCTTCTAAAAATACTTTGGTCCATTCTTCTATCGTCGAGTGTATTCGATGTAAGAGAAAATAAAAAGTTTTAACTTCTTCCTCGATAAGTTTGACGAACGCAGAACCTCGCATCGCTTCGACTTTTATTATCTGATCCTCCAAAAGCATTTGAGTGTCGTCTAACTGCGTCAAAATGTTCACTCCCGAATCTTTATAAGGTATAGTTATAAACAATACATCATCCCATTCGCTAATCAGCTTTGCTAACAGATCTGCGAGAGCAAGTTGTTTCGTTGCGCTTATGCTTATTGTTTCGTACCTTGATCGAATATGAATTGAAATTAGAACTCGTATGGATTGGATCAGAGAGAGAGAGAGAGAGAGAGAAAGAGAAAATTTAATGAAAAATAAAAAAGTTCAATTTACTTTTCAATTTCTTCCATCAAATTCATCAGGATAATTTTCCTGAACGTTGTTCCAGCATCAGGGGTAAGATCGAAACCTGCTATTACCGACATTTCATCCCAATGAATTTGTCGCATCGCAGGATTTCGAAAAACCGTTAGCAACGGTATATAGTGCTATGTGAAAAGTAGAAGAGAAAATAAGTGAACGTTTTTTTTAATATATAACTATTCGTTGAAAAACCACCTTGAACCATTTGATATCTTCCATAAGCTGATAGGTTAGTTTTAAAGGCGCCGGTTGTTGTAAAGGATCCGAGTCATCTGGAGATCCTGTGAAACTAGGATCGATTTCTTAATGATTAATTAATTAAATTCGTTCGACATTGTGTCCGTTACCTGTGCGGATAATTCATTGCAATCTCCATCTTTATTCTTGTCCTGTACTGTTTGTTTATTTTACTGAAATTTGAAAAATAATCAGTTGCCTTGTTCTCGACATCGTTTGAATCCAAATACTCGAACGGGCCATCCAGCCAGACGTCCCGATGCCTTTGCCATTGGTAACCACGATAAATTAAATCGTAGTACGGCATTATAATTTCTTTCAATTCGTTGATACGTGGATATACAGAGAGGGGATATTTAAAGAGTTTTTCTTCCTCGTTAATCCAGTTCACCCTTTCGTCCATACGATCTAAATCGCGTGCGAACTTTCGCATGAATTCAATGTATTCTCGAATCCGATTCGCATAATCCATATCATTCATAATTTTCAATCTAACAGGGATGGAAACGATGAAATATGATAGAACAACGATGCGTTGAAAATCACGTTTCAAAATTATATTATATATTAATGTTTCACCTGGGATACATGTCCTCGACACTCGCGTTAAGATCATCGATTTTCTTCACAAGTTTCTCCTCCAACTCAGATTTAGTTTGCTCGTACATGACGCTATTTTGCTCGAATATTGGTCTTATCCGCTTTAACCAATGAATAGTGTCGTTATTCAATTCGATATGATCTTTGGTTAATGTTGTCATTCCAATTAATGATGCCATCATGCGCAACGATAAAGTGATCTTTTCCTCTAATAATCTCATTAACGTTGACGCGGCATACAACATATAATCACCTAAAACGGAATTGTTTTATTTAATTTCTTTTTTTTTTTTTTATAACGCGATTAATATTTTTCTTGTAAATTCTTTTTTTTAAAAAAATTTATACCCAATTCGAGTAATTCTTTAGTATTATAAGGTATGTGCAAAGCACGCTCCCTTATATCTTCAAACGTTTTACAAATTTCAAGATTATAATTTCGATGACTTTTGACTAATTCTTCGATAATCAATTTACGCACTTCTTCCGCGTAATAAAGAAGCCCTGCCTTTGCTCCAATTTGATTTATTATCCCGATCGGAAAGTACTCGTGATCCGGCTAAAATATAAAAATATGCGTGTTTCTTTTCGTCAATTTTCAAAAAAAGGAAAAAAAAAAAAAAAGACAGATATCGTATGATAATGCATTTACCATGCCATTTATGTCTCGAATAAGTCGATTAAAATCTTCAACCTGAGATACTTTTTCTTGAAAACTATATCCCATTCTACTATAGATATCGTGCGATTTTGGATCGAAAACAATATGGAATTTTTTATGCAGTTCATCAACGTAATCGTTGAAGGGTCGAAAAGTGTTCTTCAATATTTCTTCGAGACGTCGATGCGTGTCTTTTAAATACCATTCTGGTAATTCGACTTTAATATATTCTCGATGAATCTTTACACTAACCCAAGACTCCAGTGGCGACAATTGTTGCGCGGTATTTTTAATTTGATCGATAATATTATAAAACGCGTTACAAATTTCAAGCATCGTCGGGCTAAGAAACAGATCATTTTCCTCGCATTTTAATTGAACCTAAACAAAACAAAAATATCATTGAGCTCTTTTTTCCCGTTCAATTATTTATACTTTAATAAGTCATACTTTCTGAAGTTAGCAGCAATGATCGTTTAATCAAAGGATAAAATTCAAAGATATTTAACTTTATATCTTTTATCGTTTTACCTTGAATAAAGGTAGGATTTGCTTGTCTTTTAATACTTCAAGCAAATATTCTATAGTATCTATCATGAGCGTGACAATTTGAAGAGCGAGTAAATTGTTGGCGCAGTTGAGAAAATTAGGCAAAGAAAATGACGGTACGTCACTAAGATAGCGAGGTTGAGAGATCAGTCGCACGATGTCGCTGTAATAAACACTAGTAACCATAATCGCGCCTTTTTTCGTATCATTTTCTACCAAATCTAAAAATCTACAATCGTTCGTTTATTAAAGAACTGGTGATTTTTATAGCTTTTTTTTTTATTCAATATCTGTATAAAATTTATAAACTTTTAAAGGGAGAATGGTGAATTGAACTTACTATCGAAAATTTTCGATAAAAAATCCAAATTTGTTTACAAAGGAAAGGAAAGTTTCACCTGTTAAAATCAAGATAATCGAATTCTGCTCGATAACGTCCGAAATCACACATCCATTTTGGCATCAAGAAATGAGCCTTTGCTACTATATTTTTCATCAGTTTATGAGGTAAATAATATTTTTTTTTAAGCGCGCATCGATTTCTCAAAAATTTTGGATAAAATTCAGTTCGTCCGGCAAGCTTGTACGGAGGAATTTCTTCTAATCCCAAATTACAAATATCTTGACATTCTATTGCTATCACTTTTTTTACGGCCATGTCGTGCATTGCTTCGTAATAACGTGTCTTTGTTTCGAGCATTTGATCCTCAAAAATATCCACGTATTTGGTTCGTAAATTAACCGATATTAAATTTCGAATATTTTCTTCCCATTCCTAGATGATTTTTCAACATTGTATAAACACTTTAAATTTATTTATATAATTTATAATGGATTGTGAAATTACATACAAGTAACAAGATATTCGGGGGTAATTTATTTGCAAACTCTTTCATTTTTTCAAAGTAGAAACTTTGGGGACATTCCAGATGGCATTCGTTAATAGTTTGATAATCGGTTAACTTTTCTTGCTGACGAATCTTCGACTTTGTTACCACTAATTCCAATACATTTCGCACGTCTTCGATATCACTCATTTTCTAAACGGAAATTTTCCACTTTAATACACAATTTGGAAATAGAAAAACAAGTTGATATGACTACCTTTTGTAATTCAAGCATGTTTTTGGAGAATTGTTCGATATTTGAATAATATTCCAAATTCGGCGTTTTAATTAATTCACAAGTTACATTTTCCTCTTCCTTCGCATTCAGCATTTTCGTTTATTTTTTTCTTTTCTTTTTTTTATTAAAGATTTAAATTCTTCTTATTATTATTATTATTAAAAGATCCTTATTTTTGTATTTTCACATATGAATTGTCGAATTGAAAATCAACGTTGAATATTGCCGCTTGTTCTTCAACTCATCCGAAGTTATCCGACAAACTAGAAATAAACTAGAAATCGTTTTAACGTCATTCAAATTATTGCAACTACAAATAATTCTTGCAAAAAATTCACTTTGTTTATTTCGTATATACACATTTGGGACACAAGTTCATTTTCATTTTACAATTAATATTGTTTAACAAACGATAACGATTCTCAAATAAATGCATGTGACCATTGGCAATGAAACAGTTATATTTAAATATTATGAAAAAGAAAAAGGGAACAAATGATTGAAAACAAGAGATAATTAAAAAACAGTATGGAGGGTGTTCTATTTAAAAATTTAATGATCAAACTGTGCTGCTATGCATTATATATAAGAATAAAAATACATAAATCGAAACAAGATTTTATTAAAATGATATGTTCGAGGAAATGAATATTCGTTCGCGCTTACAGTTCAACAATTGTTCTCGAATTTATAATACAAGGGAGACATTTAAGCTCTAATAAGTTAATTTTTAAGTTTTGCGGAACACATATTGGCACAGTTTGATCCTCGAATTTTGAGACACTCTTGACTTCTCTGTCGCATCGTCTATCACAAAGGGAACGTCGAACAAAGAAACAAATGGATTTCACAAACAATATATAGAACTATAAAACTTTACAACTTATATGATAATTATATGATTCTTAATCACTTATAAATCACACCGGTGAATCGAATAGTGATTTTTTTTTTCTCTCGTAATCGTATATTAGTTGACTAGAACTTCGAATATCACGTTTTAGAATTCTACTCAACGTTCTTGTCGAATTTCATAATAAAATCAGATAAAATCAGGTAAAATCCCGAGACAAATCTGATATTTAGTCTGTTAATACATATGCATAATATTATGAAAGCAATGATTTTCATTGGCTAAACATATAGTGTACACAACGTACTTACATATCTTTGAAATGGCGTGAAATATATGTTTTTCTTTTGTTACATATAAAATAAATTTCGATCACGGTTGATAAATATCCGAAAATATTTCCATGTTATAATCACGCTCAATTAAAGTAATAATTATTAACAGATTATTAATAGAATCTGTTAATAATTATTAACAGATTCTTTGACAAAAATTGTTTTATCTCGTTTTTTGCTGAAAATTGCAATAAAATCTGAAACATCTTACAAAAGTTTCGCATCTTTTTTCTTTTTTTTGTTATTTTAACGATCCTCACATAGGTTCGCTATTTTTCTTATGCTAAATCGAAATTGTACAATCGTTTTATTCTTCAGCGCACAAAGTTATATACAAAGATACGCTTCTGAACGATCTTTCCATATATTCTTGAATAGTCGCAAGGTTCGCTATAATCACATTCTTATAATGCTACAAATATAATGATAAAGCAATGCTATGTACAAGATGTTTCGCACATGTCATCAAATAATGCGTATGGTACAAAAGAATTAACAATAATGATAACTTTAGGTATTACTTTCTATAGTCACAAAATATATACAAGATCTTAGAAACAAAAATACTTAAAAACGTGCTTTTTATATCAATTCTATCACAAGCGAAAATGTTAGCGCATTTTATATTCTTCACGATAATCAATTAATGATACAGAAGTATATAACTTATAATAGAACATATGGATGTACATAATATTTATAAAAAATTCGACTAAGCTTTATAACATTTATCATGAAATATATATATATATATATAATAAATTTATATCATGAATATACGTGATAATAATGATAATTTTAACTATTTCACATGATGTACAGATGAAATGCTGCAGTAACAATATATTGTATAAAATATCTTTAACAGCGAACAAAGTGAAGCCATAAAAATAGAAGAATATACATTTTTTAATGCATCGCCTATCTGTTGCACTTATGTTGCAATTTCTCATTAACATTACAACATTTAACGAGTTTTCGTTCCATAAAAATTTGCAAAGCATCCCTTCGATATATATATACAATGGATAAAAAAGAACTTTTAAAAATAGTCATTCTTTAATTGCTTTAAGAACGATAATTATTTATAGACAAATGTTACCATATATTATAACACAGTAACTCCAATTCGTTGATAGTTGAAATGGATTTGAACAACGTAACGTTATTAGAGTGAGCAATTATAATATTTATCTTAGCAATTGTAATATTAATCAGATTTTATAAAATAAAAAAATTTACAAATAAATTTAAGAAATCTAGATATAGTAAAAACGGCTAGAATTGTCCAAAATAAACGAAAACTCAATAGAAAAAGAAGAAGGAAACAGACAGGCTAAACACCTTTGTCTCGATAATCGCTTTCTTAAATGTATCATGATGAATATATCTTTTTCTTTATAAGTCATTCTTTATGCAAAAAATTGGATTATGTAAAGAGAAGGAGAGATTGCACGTCTATATCTGAGAATATTTTTCCCTTTTTAAAATACAAAGAATTACGTTATAAAAATAACGTTCCTTTTTAAAGATAAAAATTGTTTTGATATAATAGGAAATGTCTTTACAAGATAACGAAAGGAATTTGTTTGCTTTACATTTCAAAATATTTTTAGTTAGATTTTAATTATTGTTAGATCACAATGGTAAAAGATCAATCAAATTAGCACGGGGTTGTGTCGATGATTCGGGAAAAAATTCTGTTAGTTTATCGTATAATTCAGTTCTCAAAGTATGAATATCGCGAGTAGTCGAATAACATAACGATGTATCCATGTTAACTAAATTTCCTAATACGGCGTCTGAACTATTTGAATTTGTGGCTTCTCCTAACAAGTTTTGTTCTCTGAATAGAAGGGATGTTAACAATTGAAACTGTAATGAAGAAATGTATACATTTGAAACAGCAACATTGGCAAGGAGTACTCATGAATCATTTGTTACTGATTAAAAAGATGCTACTACCTCTTTCGTTTGTTCCGCATCATTATGATCAATAATTTCCGATACTTCGGTCTGTAAATATTCAAGCGCTTCGACACTATTGTTCAAAGCTAGTTCTTTAAATTTGTGTTTTCTAATGAGTAATTTGCATTTTTTTAAAATTTGTTCATGAGACGGTCTGCATAATTTTAATTGCCAGAAATCATCGAGTCGTAAGTTAGGAAGACAGGATCTCCCAGGATTTCCTCCAAATAAAAAATGGACCTAATAATATATTATGTAACGTCATTATCATTATGCTGCATAAACCGAAAAATTTTTTATAATAGTATATAATATAAAACAAACCTTTTTTACATGATCATAAACTAATTGATGCGCATATCGTGGACATGGTTCGTAATCTTGCATTTTACTCCAATATTTCTCTCCGACATTATCATTTCGATAAATACAAGACCATTTATTGTTTTTAATACTATATACCCAAAAAGAATTTTGAACGCTGTCAAATCTTTTACCCTTGTCTTTACTTAAACCCTAAATAAATAATAATTAAAAAAATTTAAATACCAATGATAATGATAAATTTTAAGTAAATTATTATTATTATTATTATTATTATTATTATTATTATTATTATTATTATTATACAAACCGATAAAACATATATTTCTCCTAATTCAGGATCAATTGTAGCTCTTTGTGTAAATCCAGCTGCCGGAACATGATTCGAATCTTTAGCACCAAAATCATTAAAAATATGTTCGATATGATTTGTATCGACCTCATATGTGAAAAAATCGCTAAGATCTTCTTTGCCTCTTTGACCCGCGAAAATATATAGCTTCCGCAATCTCTTTAAAAAAGTAAAATTTCCAAATTGTATTATATTCATATATTCATAATATACATCGTATAATAAAATATATACATACAGGATGGAATAACATAGAATGACCAGCTCGAGATCTAATAGTTGGTGCATTGGTAGGACACGGTCTTGCAATGTCACAGGCAAGCCTATTCCATGTACCAGTTGGTACATGATAAGAATATAATCCGGAAAAAATTGGTTCGGTTGAACTTGATACCATACCGTGTTCTTCGGAACTATAAATTAGATAAACATGTTAAAATATCAATTAATAATTATTGCGTAAATCTACTTACTTTGTTGGGGAAACAAGCACACGACCACCAAATATATAAATTGTCCGTTTTTCAACATCCATGGACATTTGATGATCAAAAATTAATTGAGGTCCTCCTACAGCACCCGTATCTTCTGATATTTGTGTCCATTTGTTTGATTCAATATCATAGACAAAAAAATCACTCTTTAAATTTTCCGGTGTTCTGTATTCTGCATCTAAGTATTTACCAAGAGTAAAAAGTTGCCTACGTTCTGGATCAAGGCACATTTTGTGGCAAGATCTCGCGCTTGGACCACCCTATAATTTAGTATTTGAATTCTCTACCAAAAAATACACTTTTTTTTTTAAATCTTACCACAGCTTCTGTATCTTTACATATAATGGTCCACTTGTTAGAAGCTATGTTATACACCCATAAATCTGAAAGATCTTGATTTCCATCCCATCCCCCAAAAAGATAAAGAAGTTCTGCATTCGGATCAAGAACCATTTGATGACCTCCTCTCATTCCTGGTTTACCATCAGTGAATGATAACTTAGTCCAAACTGCTCTATAAGTTTGAGCATTGATATAGTCATTCAGGAGACCCACTGTATTATAAATCATATACTTTCTGAGACTGTATTAGAATTATGAGATAAAAAAAGATAAGAGAAAAAAAATACTCACACATTACTGCATTACTTATAAAACATTCAGCTTGCAAATGATCACCTTTTGTAACTAATAAATCATATAATCCAGTTAATCTAGGGTCCTCAAGTGGAACACCAGTCACTCTTTGCAAAGTATCTACAATTTCTGATTGTTCAAGTTTT